TCCCTATCATATTTTTGCTGTGAAGACTTCACATCATGTTCAGATTAATGTCTGTGTTAGGTGGGGTAGCACATGCTTATATTCTCAGCACTCAATAGGATGAGGCAGGAGAATCACAAGTTTTTTTTTTTTTTTCAGAACCAGGGATTGAACTCAGGCCCTTGCGCTTGCCAGGGAAGCGCTTATTCCATTGAGCCCTCTCCCCGGCCCTGAGAATCACAAGTTTGTGACTTTTTTTTTTGAGACAGAGTCTCCCTGTGCAGCTCAGGCTGGCCTTGTGCTCACTTTTGTAGCCCACAGGCTGGTCTTGAACTTGCAGAGATCCTCCTATTTCAACCTCCCAAGTGCTGGGATTGCATATGTGCACCATCACGCCTGATTCTGGGCTGCATGGTGAGCCCATGCATTCGGGACTGAGATTCATGCCATGTGGGACTGGGATTGAATTTGAGGCCTTGTGCTTGCCAGGTAGGTGCTTATGCCTTGCTATCTTCCCGGCCCCTACACTTCAAATTTGAGGTCAGCGTGGGCTACATAAGGAGAACTAACTTAAATAATACAAAAGCAGAAGAAATCGAATTAATGTTTTCTTCAGAATATGTTCGTTTATCCCTCTTGTGAGATACCACACCTTTTTAGACTTAATTTTTTAAAAATCTTTTTATTTGGTACAGGGTCTTGCTATGCAGCTCAGACTTTTAATGATCTGCTTTTCTCAGCCTACCTAGGGCTGGGATTACAGGCGTGTGCCATCATGCCCAGTTCTGGGGCTGCACTATGGGTGTCCACATCCAGGGCTGAGACAGTGTGCCTGGGGATCTGGGGCCGAGACTACAAGGCATGTAGAACCAGGGATCAAGCTCTGGTCCTTGCGCTTGCCAGGCAGGTGCTTAAGACCCCTGAGCTATCTCCCCAGCCCCACCCCTTTTTTTTGAGGTGAGGCAGGGTCTTGCTGTATAGTTCAGGCTGCCCCTGAACTAACCATATAGCCCAGGTTGGCCTCAAACTTGCAGCAATCCTCCTGCCTCAGCCTCTCTTGCTGGGATTACAGGTATGTCCCACCAGGCCTGATTTAGACATTGTTTTATTTTACTAGAATGAGTATTTTTTTTTATCAGGAATAAAAATTGCTTCTGCAGGGGCTGGTGAGATGGCTCAGTGGTCTAAAGCACCTACTTAGAACGAGCTTAGCAAAGCACAGGGACCACAGTTCAATCCCCCAGCACCACATGCCAGCCAGCCCCGCCCCCTGGTGGGCTGAGCTGGCCACACACACACACACACACACAAATAAAATTTAAAAAAATGCTTCTGTAATCATTACCTATGTTTAATTGATTTTAAAATTAAATGATGGCTTTTTATAGAGCAGTGAAATGTTTTCTCTTTTGTCAGGTTTTGTGGCACTTGGACATCTTCCGACGCAGTTTTAGGCAACTTACGACTCACAAGTGCATGGGAGATTCCTGCATCTTTTGTGCTCTCAAGGTAAGTACCTCAGATTTTTTTCTCTCCACTAACTGGACTGAGAAATGATCAGTATTGCTTGGAGAAGTCATTTAGTTATGGTGATGCTAAAGTATTTGCTACTGCATTATCTACCTGTGTCTTAGAGTAAAAGTAAGTGTGATTCCTTTGGTTTGCTTCGAAGTTTTACCACATGGCCTGGATGGTCTTTTTCTTCTGAACCCCTTTTAGACATACAGCTTTATTTGATGTGATAAGATCTATTCAAGTATGCTTCTATTTTGAGAGTTTACTTAAAAAGCTAATTCTAAATTTTTATGTTAAAAATAAATTTTTATTTTATAATAAATGTTTTAATTGGAACTATGATTTGTTAAAATGAAATCTTAAAAATTTTCAATTTTCTTAATGTTTCCCATGATCACATTTAATTGATTATTATTATTATTTTTTTGCTCCGAATGCCTTCAGGGCTGGTTTGGCTGGCTTGAGTTGTGGGGATCGAACCACAGCAACCTGAGCCTGACTGCTTTGTTGAAGCAGCCACTTAAAGAACTGAGCTAAGTTGCAGGCCCCCTCTTTTTTTTTTTTCCGAAGGTTTCAATTGTACTTTATTTCTTCAGTAGGCCATATTTTAATGAATACATAGCACTTTTACTTGGCATCAATTATGATTTCATTTAGAAATAATTTAGTTGTATCATATCAGCTGGCATGATTACTGATCTCTCCATTCCTTGGGGGTGACTCTGCCAACAGGGGAAAGGTTCCATTCTATTCCAGTTTGTGTGGCTGTATAGGTCCATGCAGCAATACAGAATGTGACTCTACCAACTAATATAGCATTACCATATTTGTCATGGAAATCAGGTATACCTTTCTGGTGGCTCTGCCTTGTTACCATTTGTTGAATGCTTCGCACTGGAAAACGACCTAATGTGTTTTTGGCCAAGGGAAACATTGTGGAGTTGAAGTTGAAACTGTAGTTACTGCAGCTTCCAGCTTGGTGCAAATTACTTCTAATTGATTCTTTTGCATTAGTTCTCTACCTCATGTATTGTCTGGTTCCACATTTTTCCCTAAATAAAATGAAACTGGTATTTGTTTAGAGACAAAGAAAATTAGAGATTTTTGGCAAAAAATATTTTAAGTATAGTGTATAGCTTAAGAAAGAGAACCATGGTGTACAAAGGGCCACATCTTTTGCAACAGGTACCTTCCATATATTTTTGTGGTCCAGATATACAACAGAACTTGTGTTTGGGTGAAGTTGTGTCATCCAAATGAGTCTGAGGAAAAACCAAACCAAACCAAACCATAAAAACAAGTGCGTGTGAATAGGCTTTCAGGTTTGTCATAGGGATGCTTAGATGAAGTCATTATACATTTGATTTAGTTGCTCTTTTATGTTAAGGTAGGAACTATAACCAGAAAAATATAGAACAATCATCAATATCATTTTGGAGTTTTTAACTCTATTGTAAGACTTTAGAAAGAGTTAAGTGTATACACATTTTTTTTTAAATTTTATTTGCATTTATTTTATGCTTAATTTATTCCCGTGCCATAAGTTTTTGTTTCTTCAGTTTCTTCTGGGATACATTTCTTTTATATTTGTCTAGGACTATGATTACTGGGCTATAGGATGTATACACAGTTTTTTTAGATAATGCCAACTATTTTCCAACATTTTCATATATTTTCCAATGTATCTTCTTCCTTTTTGTTTTGGACCCAGGGTCTTGTGATGTAATTCAGGCTGATCTTGAACTCTAGAGCCAGGGATGTAGCTCAGTTGCACAGCACCTGCCTGGTAAACATGAGACCCTGAATTTGATTCTCAGTATGAGAAAAAATGATCTTCCTGTCCTAGCCTCCCAAGTGCTAGGATTATAGGCATGCACCAACATACCCAGCTCCAGTGTGTCTTCTTCTTTTTTTTTTTTTGGGTGGAACCGGGGATTGAACTCAGACCCTTGTGCTTGCCAGGCAAGCGCTTATTCTACTGAGCCATCTCCCTGGCCTCCAGTATGTCTTCTGATCATTAGTTTTTTTCTATTTTGTTTTTATTTTTATTTTTTGGTGAAACTGGGGATTGAACTCAGGCCCTTGCTCAGTGGCTTATTCTACTGAGCCATCTCCCCAGCTTCAAGTTTTTTTTCTAGGAGTTGAGAAAAATCAATTTTGAAATTTATGTGATACCGAAAGACAAGACTCCTAAATTGGTCAGACTTCGAGTTTGTGATAACAGCCCTAAAATTTCAGTGATAATATGCCAAAGATTTATTTCTCATTTACATTACTAATCTACTATTGGCTAGTCTGGATTACAGTCATTCAGGATCTAGCTTGATATTTATAGCCATTGTGGTTATAATTGCCATTTTGTCTACTTCGTGACCCTGGCATGTGTTTCAAACACAATATAGGATAAAGGTGTTAACACCACGTGGGATAAAGTTATTAGTCAAGTGTTTTATGCTTGCTACAGATGCCTAGATGGTTTCTTTTTTTTTTTTTTTTTTCTGGAACCAGGGGTTCAACTCAGACCCTTGCGCTTGCCAGGGAAGTGCTTATTCCACTGAGCCATCTCCCTGGCCTAGATGGTTTCTTAACTGTAATAGTTTTTGATAAGCCTAGGTACATTCCAGTGGGCCACAGCCCATCTTTGTCTACTTTAGCATATTGTTCCTGCCTTGGAGTGCAGAGATCCTGTTGTCTTGCTGCCACCCAAGGTGCTCTCCTGTCCTTAATTCCCTAGTACACTGTACTCCCTGGAGTCCTGGACCTATCTACCTTTTTTATTTTTTATTTACCTTTTAGCACTTTCCATCTTTAGCAACTAGTTCTGGACACCAGGTTTTCTGCAGCCATATCGACTATTAGTAGTTGCTAAGCTAGAGGAACAGTGTTCTGGCGGATTCGCGTGGGTAATTAATGCCGAGCAGGTCTTTCCTTTTCACAACGCAGTGAGCAGAGCTACTCATCTCCCACTGGACCATGAGGGGACCAGGAAATACAGTGATGTTATGATCCTTGGGAAAGGGAAGAACCAGAAACATTTAGCAAACAGTATTAATAACTGCCATACTTTTCCAGGTATCAACCCTTAGAAAACTATAATAAATGTACCATATTTGTAGTGTAACACAGTATTACAAGTGAACTAATGAAACAAAATCAAGAGTTCAAAATGGCATATTGAAAACTTGCTACTTGCCTTGTGAATCAAAAAGAAAATGGATTTTAAATGGTACTTAATTTGTTATCTATATAGAAAAAATAGATCTTTATATTATACCTACAATAAGAATTTCAGGGCTGACGAGATAGTTCAATGGAATAAGTGTTTGCCTGGCAAGTACAAGGTCCTGAGTTCAATCCCTGGTACCACCAAAAAAAAAAAAAAAAAAAAAAGAATTTCAGATGAATTAAGGACTAAAAGGGACAAAGCAAAATTTTTAAACTTGTACAAATAACTGTCATGAGGGAATATCATGACCTCAGGAACAAGGAAGGATTTACTAAATAATACATGAAACGTGGAATGTTTAAAAATTGATATATTTTAGTCTGGTACAGTGGCACACGTTTGTAATCACAGCTTCAAGGCTAGCCTCGACAACTGTTGTGGTTTGTATCTAGATGTCTCCTCAAGGCCTCATGTGCTCATAGGTAGGGCTTTGGAGGGGACTGATTGGATTGTAGGGACATGATACACATCAATAGATTAGTCCACTGATGACTTTATAGCTAAATGTGATGTTTGAGGTGGAACATGGTGGTGGGAGGTGTCACTGGGGCGTGGCCTAGAAGTTTCCATCTCCCTCCTCTTGATCACTCTGCTTCTGTGGTCCCACACTGTGAGCTCTTTTTTCCTTTGTCATGCTCCTCTGCCAGGCTGCCCTGTCTTGGAGCCAGCCACTATGGACTAAAACCTTTAAAAACTGCAAACCAAAAATAAACCTTTCCTCCTTTAAATTGGGGTGTTGGGTATTATGCCTAAGTAATGAGAAAGTAACATAAGACAGAAACTTAGGTGAGGTACAGTCCCTGAATAAAAAAGGGCTGAGGGTATAACTTAGTGGTAAAGGGCCTCTGGGTTTAACCCCTATTACTGTACTGGAAAAAAATTGATACATTTTACTATAGAAGATTCACTAAATTCTTTTCATCAAAGAACTCCATAGAGTAAAGAGACAAGGCTACAAGCTAGGAGAAAATATCTATGATACTGTATATATAATCAATAAAATATTATTATCCAGTATAGGACTCCAAAGAAAAATTCCTCAATGGTAAATGTTGTGGCTCATACCTATGATTCCAGCTACAATGGCAGGCTGAGGCAGAGGATCCCTCTTTTGTACTTTGCCTCAGCAAATTAGCCACTTAGTAAGATCCTGTCTCAAAATGTAGATTGGAGCCAGTATTGGAAATGTAGCTGAGTGCCAAGACCTTGGGTTTAATCCTCTGTATTAATGGGGGGGGGGGAGACAGGGAGCGAGAGTGAGAGAGAGAAGCTCAGTTGGACTTGGTGGCACATGCCTATAATCCTAGCCCTCTAGAAGGCTGAGGAAGGGAACTCTCATGTTTGAGCCACCAGCTTGCAAGCATAAAGGCCTGAGTTCAGTCCCTGTTCTGCCAAAAAAAAAAAAAAAAAAAAGAGTCGGGAATATAGCTCAGTTCAAAGGTCCTGGGTTTGATCTCCAATACCACAAAAAGGAAGAAAGAAGAAAGAGAAAGCGAGACAGACAGACACACAGAGAGAGAGAGCGAGTGAGCAAGCAAATGACATTTAAGATGCTTATCCTAATTAGTAATCTAAAAAATGTAAACTAAACCATGCTTTTCATGTCAATAGAATGTTAAGAATCTAATAAATGGTACAGAAAAGGTGGATTGATGAGATATTACATGTGGAATCCCAATTGATACAGTTTAAAGTGGTTTATTACTTAGTAAAATTGAACTTGATTATAACCTCTGACCTAGTACTTTACTCCTAGATATACACTGTA